TTATTATTTATTATTATTATTATTATTTTGTTTGTTTCCAGGACTCTGTACATCTTCCACAAGTCCAACACCTACTTGTGTAACCAGTACTACTCAGACCTCAAGGTAAGAGATTATTTTCTCATTTCACTTTTGCACTTGCACAGGTTCGGGGATTTCCCATCATCTTTCTTTTTGCGCTTTTCTTTCGAACATGATTTTTTTGTGAAGATTTTGTGTTGTCGGTCGTTGTGTGGCTTACCAAGCAGCAAATCAAAGGAGTTTTGGTGTCAAGATTTATAACATCACCTGTGCATTATTCACAGCTGTTTTGATATGTTCTAGCAGGTCAACAGTGTTTAGTGGAATAAGCCATTGGAACAAAAAACAGTTCTATGCAGGAAAAAAAATGATGCTATAGACGCTAGTTGTGTATATTTATGATTATTTTTAACATTTTGTAGTATAGTAGGGACAGATATGGCCGATTTGGTTTTATTCCTTATCTCTCAGAGCTAGTTGTTACGTTTTTTGGGGGGGGGTTTTGCTCAGGTTTTAGTTTTGATCGCCACAGGATGGGGTCATTATTTTTTCAAAGCCTAGGTTTTGTTGTTAGACTGGCTTTTCATATGTTGTTACAAAATAAGTTTTTGTAGCCTGTAACATTGAACGAGTGCCGTAACTCTAAGAAAAATCTCGACTACAAACCGTTCATTTTTGCTAGTCAAGATTTTTGCATAAAATGTTTAACTGTGTGAAGAAAGTCTAAAAAAGCAATTTACCAGCTTTCGTTTTTTATTTCGTGAATTTTGATTGGATAATGTCCCTCGTGTTCACTATCTGTGCGCTGCTATCAGTAATTTGAATAGTTTTGCGTTGGGTTTTTTTTTTCATTTGACCACAGGTACTGTCTATAATCACATCATGAAAGTTTTCTACAGGGTGTTCAATCAAAAAGTCCTGTATTTCATGACAAATGGATGTTAAGAGATGAATTTCTTACTCCTTGCACACTTGCACACAGTTTATTCATCTCTACTCGAGCTAAAGCGTAGGAAAACGTTTCCTCTGAGGTGCATGCAGGACTCCTCCAACACTCTGTAGTTACTGCACCCACATGCACAAAGGCTGGGGATAGCCTTCTCCAATGTCACTCATATTATTTTTAAAAAATGATACTTGCATATATGAACAGCTGTAGTTACATTGGAAAAGTGAGTCAGGAAAATTCAGGTGAAATGGTTATAAAACTGAGAGGGAATTGCTTGAAATTTATTTTTTAAAGTTGTCCATGTATTTGAGGGGGTGAGATGCAAAATCCGCAAAGTGACATTTTGGAAAAAATCGAAAATTTGTTGCTTATAGATGCACTTTGTTACCGGCTATCAGATGCATAAAGTGTTTTCAGCCAAAACCCAAAACGTACTTCATAAAAGTCACCAAATAAATCTTCTTTTTACACGTTTGTGCGTATAGCAGCTTTTAAAAAAGCTGATTTTCTTAAAAGTGCTAAAATGGATGTAGCGGGTTTTGCATATGTCAGCCCCTCTTTTGTTATTTTTGCCCTCTTCCCTCAAAGAATTGACAATAAGAATGATAATTGGTATGGCTGCACAGCACAAATGTATTTTCGCATTGGAGTTGCACATCACGTATCACTTCTACGTCTCATGAGCGATGGTGTAAGTCAAGGCTATTTTCTGGGAGGTATTGATTCAGATGACTTGAATGATAATATTCTAAAAGGTGTAAAAAGTTTGTTTGAAGTTGAACCGTAAAGTCATTCAAGTCTTTGTCTCAGAGTAATGTAATGGCTTTACTTTCTGTTATAGAGACTAGACAAGTCTCACCATCACCACCACCATCAACCACACCACCACGGTCACCAGGTTTAGTATTTGCACCGGTCTTTTGTACACTCCACCTCATGCCATATATCACATTCAGTTTGTATTTTTTGCACATCATGCATAATATGTAACGTTCTCTCTCACCTACCCATAGTATGTAAATTCCACTGACTTCTTGTAATAATTTTATTACATGTATTTTCTGTTCACACTTCTCTTTCATTGCTGAAAGGGATAACATTTTATTGATTTACCAATATGAAATATCAAGGCGACAGATTTTTATGGTCTTGAGAGCTGAGTTTTAGATTTATATTACTTACTGTAGTGTCTTTTAGGGTTTGAATTATCTCTCTAATTTATGCGAAATTCATTACTGCACTGTTTATCATTTTTTAATATTCAAATCAGGCTTTGCATTTTCCTAGAGATGGGCACATCAGATCTTTTATTGCTTCCCTCACACTCCTTAATTTCTTGACGCTGTGCAGAGTTGTTAGCCTTTTCCTTCAGAATTTTTTTCTTCTTACTTTTCTTGTTTCAAAATGAATAAATTCTTATTTGAAGCCTATGGTTTTACCATTCTGCACTTGCCATATTTCCTCATGAGAGTTTAATGCACTTTATGCCCTGCACTTGTCTTGCTCGCAGAGTCAACAATCCAGTCTGGCTGAAACCCAGCCACCTCAGGGCTTGAGCTCTTTGGTCGAATGCCTTGTTTCTGAGGTTATTGTAATGACCAGACTGACTTGTTTTTCCTTTTGTTGGCGGCTCAGGATTGTCCTTTTAGAGATGGGCTTATAATAATTTCCACTCTTTTGTCAGTATTGAGGCAGTGTTTGTCATTTCTTCCTGTTTATGCTTGAATGCGACCCATCAAATTTTTTACAGTGATGGAAGTGATGGAAAAAACGTGAAGCTGGGACTGGTAGCAGTCAGCTTTTTTTCACTAATGTTCAGCTGTATCTTTGTTCAGGATTTTCTGGCAATAATGTGGCCTTAGTTTACTTAAGGTAAAGTTTAACTCAAATACCCTTTGAGGGCTTTCACGGTTTAGTTTCTTTAGCGGGAGAGTGGAGCTGGGAACCTACTTAATTATCCCAATTTCCTTTCGTTTCAAACAAATAGATCAAAGCTCAGGGCAATGACGTTGTTATTTTGGAATTTTATAGAACGCGATTGGAAACACTGTTCCCATGAAAATGTAAATAATAGAGTATGTTGCGGGGATTGTGCTAGCCTGTTTCTGGAACTATAGTCGAACCTGCCCTATAAGATGGCCACCTGTACAAACGGCCACTTTCCATTTCCCCCCTTGCGTTTTTTCTATATAATTTAACTGTGTAAAACGGGCACTTGTCCAACGCGGCTGCGGCCACCATATTTTAACACACAACCCCTATCAAACAAAGCAATAACACCTGTCTTAGACGGCCACCTTAGTGACTCCATTACGTTTTGTCATAAACTGTGCATTGGACCCTGGCATTGTGGGCAAGCTGTCATAATTCAATCACCTGTCGTTGTTGTTAGGTAGTCCCTCCAACCGATCATGTTGCGTAGGCCCCTCCCACTGTTGACCAATTGGTAACAAATTTTCAGCTGCCATTGAGGTAAGCGTGTGATCCCTCATAACCTATAAGCCCCGCCCAGAACTCGTACACAAATCAGAAGTGAGATGAGTGGTCACTGTTTACCCAGTCTGTAACAAAGTAACAATGGACGTCAACATGACTTTGAGACAGAAATGTTGCTTGTTCTCCGAGTGGTGGCGACCCATGTGTTTGTTTTACCATTGCACTCTTAACCCGGAACTTCCCCCAATGTGTCCCTTGTGTGACTATGCATATGAGACTGTGGATCATCACCTGTTCCACTGTACAGCCCTAAATGACATCAGAGCTACCCTTCTCCCTCCGAGACCTAACATTGACAACACACTCTATGGAACATTACAGCAACTGCAGCAGACCTGCACTTATCACTACATGGCATTGGACAGAAGGGCGAGAGCCCAGCTGTTGCTGGATCGATAACAACAACAACAACAACAACCATAGCACTCCATCCCCCTTGTCTGACACATTTCGTTTTATTGTCACCCTTGCACAAAAGCCGCAACAAAAGAAAAAAAACGAAAAAAAACATAGTGAAAACAACAACAATAACAACAACAACAATGCGGCTATCTTCGGTTGGGACCTCAGAAAGGAAGGGTTTGTTTTCTTCATCTTGATCAGTCCTGCCTAAGACGGCCACCTGTCTTATACGGCCACTTTTCTCCTTGACAACGGGTAGCTGTCTTACACAGGTTCGACTGCATTTTTGCATGATAACACGGTACAAAGTTTACGTGTAAATTATGAACAAAGCCAACCCTTTGCAAAGAGGCATGGGAGGTTAAAAAATTTTTAAAACAGCTTAAGTCTCCAAAGAGTCAAAGAACGCAACCTCCAAGCTCCACAGTCACGGAGTGTGTCATTTTGCTTCAACTATGTGCTCACAGTTTTTTTTCCATAATGCATGCTTGGGTACAATATTCGTCCAAATCAGTTTTTTTAAAATACATGTAGTTCCCTCTTTTGAAAAGCCGGTTATAAAGGATCAGTAGGAAAAGGTGTACAGGAAATAAATCAAGTCGGCAACGAACATTTTTTTGCTGAACAAATTATTTTATTGTCAGACACACACTTGTAAGATGTAGCGTTGAACCCCCAGCTTTCCCTCGCAGGATGTTGTTTCTTTGGAAACTTAGGCTCATCCTCAGTGTACATCTGCAAGTTGATAAATGTGTGAACAGCAGCATCAATGCTTCCTACTGAATGTTGCACTGCTTGCTACCCATGAGAATGAGATATAAATTACAGACTTACTGATTTTCCAGATAAATCTGGAAATCTGGATTTCTGGAGTAATGCAGATTTTGCACTGTGCTACATATAGAAATAGTCGCAACACAAGATGTACTCTTTGGTTCGTGAATCTTAAGTCTCAGCACCCGAGTTTCCACAGATGCGAAAAAGTTGAGGATTTTTTTATCTTCGCCTGTTGGCTCGTCTGACATGGGAATAAGCCGGAGCACAATTTTTTAAAATTGAAGATATATTGTGTTCAATCAGAAGACTATTAAAGCTAGTTAGCTTTTTTTAACTCCACCTTGGATTAGATTCATCTACAACTCATACCATTAACTGCACGCGTCTTTTGCTTTAATTCTATGGCACCCTCATGATAATGTATTGTAGTCTTCTCTTCCCTCTAAGAATTTAGAAGAGCATTCTAGAAAATTAAATTTTTTAGACTCTCTAAGTGTTAGTTCGGGCTCCATTCATCTCTTGGAAGGATCAGGAGTCCACCTGCATGTTCGTTACTTTTATGTAGTTGTACTGACACGCACAAATTTTAATGTATGTGTGAAATCTTTGTAACTGCATGATCTGTTTGGTTTTTAAAAATTTTTATTTTTATCTAATTTTGTAGGCGTGAATCTTATGCTTTTGAGTTTAAAAAAATAAAAATTGGTATATTTGTCTTCTTAATGTCCTTTAGTTTCATCTTTGTTTTGTTGTTCTGTACTTTATTGTATTGAGTGTCAATATCCCTGACAGCATGCAAAAAATAACCCTTTCAGCGTGACGCATTTTTAAAATGGCTGTTTACTCCACTTAATATGATCTTTTAAACAATTAATGACATTTCTCCTAAAGCTCAACTAAAAAATATAGTCCTTTAGATTCCAGCACATTCTGCAAAGAACTGTCTAGGTAAATATGCAATCAAAGAACTGTGTATCATGGTCTTTGGAACATTCACCAAGAAGTCTGTTGTAGATCTTCACATCTTTACGTGCAATACATATTTTTTTCATATTTCGATATGATCAGCACTCAGTACTCAATTTTTGTTTGTATAACAAAATGCGATACAGAGGGCACGTATAAAAAAAGAATAATGAAGTGTCAAATGTGAGGCAGCTTGGCGGAATCAGGCTCTGGTCAATTTTTGGGCTTGTAGAGTTATTGGTATCATCTTAAAGCTTTTTCACAAGTCTTTATTTGGATGGAAAAAATATCCATTTATCTTGAATACAAGTCAAGATATTTGCGAAAGAAGGAGGAGGGGGTCACTTGTTTTCAGAGGTAAAATTAGTGAGAAAATGGCGGCCAAAGATTTAGTTATTTCCTTAGCTTAAGAGTCCGTGGTAACTGAAAATTTACATTTTTTGTGCCTTTAATCAATGTTTTTCAGAAAAATCCACACAGAAATGAGTTTTTTTAATGGATATGAAAGGTGTTGAGCCAAAAAACAAAAATTTGATAAAAATTCACAAACCTGTGGAAAAATGCAAGTTTCTTCACTTTGATTATTTTGACGAGAGCATGATTCCACTACGCTGCCTCACAAATAGTATTCCCCATGAAGAAAATGTTGGCTTTATGACTCAGTCAGTTTGGCTTTTCTCAATACTGAGTTTGATCAGTCCAATGCCTGGTACCTGGGGCTGAAGAGCCATCTGGTGGGATCTACTCCTATTTCCTTCTCTCACAAATTTGTAAATTCACAACCCACACACAAACTTGCACACACACACGCACACATACACACAAACACACACATGCATACACACACTGACACATACATGAACACGCACACATGAATTCCTCGTGTGGTATGTCTTCAGAAGTTTTTTTCTATTTCTCAAACACTTTGGGGGAGGGGGGGGTGGTTGATTATAATGTTCCCAGCCACATTGATGCTTTAAAAGCAAAATACATCATCTGCACAAATGTAATCAACACCCTGTCCTTCATCTACATGCTTTTCACACCTTCTGACAAAGTTGGCACGAGAACGCCACTGCTCCTTTACTATCCCTCTTTTTTTGTCCTCAGCTGTTCTGATGTTTCGATTTTGTCACTCTGGTGGGCGAATAAATCTGGCAGCAGAGTAATCCCATGTCCAGATATAGCTGTCAGCGACGTTCGGTTCAGTCTCGGTCATCGGCTCTCTGTTTGTGTTGCTTTTCCTCAGAGTGTGACGCCTTCCAGCACCACGGCCCCGAGTAAGACGGAGAAGAGACCCCCACAAGCAACATCGGTATGTGTGTGTGTATGTGTGTGTGTGTGTGTGTGCGTGCACATATTTGTCTGTGTGTGTGTGTGTGTGTGTGTATGTGTGTGTGTGTGGCCCCAAGTAAGATGGAGAAGAGACCCCCACAAGCAACATCGGTATGTGTGTGTGTGTGTGTGTGTATGTGTATAGAATGTGTGTGTTTGTGTGTGTACGTATGTGTATGTGTGTGTGTATGTGTGCTAATTTGTGTGTGTATGTGTGTATATATGTGTGTGTGAGTGAATGTGTGTGTGTGTGTGTGTGTGTGAGCGAATGTGTGTGTGTGTGTGTGCTTTTGTGTGTGTGTGTATATGTGCGTGTATGTTTTTGATATCTCTTTTTAAAATCCTTGTCTCTCTAAATAAGATAATATCTGTATGGAAAATAACTCTAAACTAAATCAAGAGATACAACAACGTCGACTACAATAGTGACATTTTAAAGACAGTCTACCTTGTTTGCTGTGGTTACTGTTGACACATGCCAGTTCCAACCACAATAACAACAATAACAGCATGCGTACTGAAAATAAAAACGATTTAAAAAATTCAATAATGACAATAAAAGTTACGTAAAAAGTTATTAAAATCAGTATAATTGATTTGTTACTGTTATTAGAGAAATGTGCCAACAATAACAACAACAACATTTTCTAAAACTACCGCCGCTTCCACAACCATAACAATCACAGTAACTAGGGAGGCGGTGGCCCTGACGAAGAGCGCGCTCTTCGGGGCTCCAAACAATTCGAAAGGATAGGCTCCCACACACACACACACACACACACACACACACACACACACACACACACACACACACACACACACACACACACACACACACACACACACACACACACACACACACACACACGTAAACATAAGTGATAAACATCATCGGCTGTAGGGAAATCCCTGCAACGATAGTAATGAAATCAGTGTCCTTGATTTGCTGCTGCTGCTACTGTACTGTAGACCCGCGGTAGTCTGATGGCTCGTGCCAGTCTTCTGTTGGAGTCGCACGAGGAAATGGAGGAGCTGGAGGAAGTGAGTGCAAGAGCCAGAGCAGTTGCTGGATGTTTCACCGCTGGACATTTCACGTTACTTTGCGTGATTATTTCCCACACATTTCGCGCATTTATTTCGCACACTTCACGCTATATTTTATAGTTCGTTTTTCATTCACATTTCTCCTGTATAAGTCTTGGTTGTATGTCAGCATTTTGACGGGATGACGTCTTGTTGATGACAGTTATATGCTTTTCCTGCTTACTGGCGAAGTTAAAAGACTCTGTTTTCTGTTACAAGATAGATAAATGGGAAGCATGCTGACAAATAAACAATAATAACATACTGATATGTGTTTTATGAGTTGATGAAGAGTGTCACTGCCCCATACAGGAGAAGTGTTACACTTACAGGTGGAAAAAAGCAGAAAGAGACAAGTTTGGCTTTGATGTCATTAGTTACTCTTTGCTAGCTTTTTTTTTAACCATTTGTGCTGAGTTGTTTCTGGAATTCTTCATGTTAAATATTTCATTTGAATAAGCCAAAAAAGGTTTTAGTTTTGTTCTATAAGTTTACTCTCTGACTTTTGTGAGTGAAATGTATTTCTTTGTTCACTTGTTCTGTTATTTGAGGCACACTTTCATCAAGTTGAATTAATGAGGTATTCTAGAGGCAAGTTGTATGTAATGAAAGCATGTGTTTAATTTCTTCCAAATTTTCACACAGTTTCATGTTTGTAAAGATGTCTAGAGTCACAATTGTTCCATCTTGGAAACTTCACAGTCACAGTTATAGTGGAGAAAATTCTTTTGTTTCTGGCTTTTTTAAAATCTTCTTTCTTATCCTCACGCTTTTGTGTCTCTCTTTCCCTGCTAAGGGGTCATGGGAGGATGGGAGGGTGTCTTACTGTTTTATTATTCACTTGCAACTTCTTCCCGTCTTCTTTTTTTACCTGCTTTCATGAAGTAAATTCTGTTATATCAATGTGCTTTTTTAAAAAAGTTTGACTCACAGCAAACTCACAGATAATCATTGAGGATGCTTGCTTGGAATGTGATGTATAAATAATAATGTAGATTTCTACATCCCATTGCTTTTAAAAACTTGAACATTTGTTTCTTAATAATAAAGATCTTAACAGTAACCAATAGACATGGTTTGTTGCGATATTGTCATGATAATGTTGACGATTATGTTGATCGTAATGACAATGATGATGATAATGATGCCTATGATTCGGATGATAATGATTTTCTACATTTTCTCTTTTCTTTCTCAGGCACCAAATGATGGCTCTCCATTTTACTTGTGTATCCTTTTTGATTTAACCAAAGATTTTTAAAAGAAGTCTGAAGCTGATATAATGAATCTCAAAAGCATGTTACTGTTGAAGGCAAATAATTATAATGAAATTATGTTTGAGCTTGCGCTGTGATATGGACAGAGTGAAACAGTATGTCAAAAAGTGTAACTGATGACAATCTGTATGATCAGGTGCAAAGATATGGTAAAGAAATCTAAATAACTTTAACTTGAATCTGAGTAGAATCCAGTTTCCATGAATATACTTTGACAGAATTACTATGTATTTTTAAGCAAAAGCATAACTTTCTGAATTCTATATGAAATAGTGTGCTCAATACTTTTTCAGTCATAATAACGCAATGAAGTATAGGTCAAGTTAGATATAGTCTCATGTCTAGTCCTATGAAAACCTGCCTTGTTTCCTTGACTGAGGACAAGTCGTGGACAATTTGGCTCAGACGGAGATCGTGGTGTCGTACTCCGTGCTGTCTCGCTGGTTTGACCCGCCCCTGCCGCTCGTCGAGGAGAAGAAAGCTCTGTCGCAGATCAAGCAGGGGAAAGAGAAAGACTTGGACAAGGAACCGACTAATGCCTCGATCAGTCTAGGTAATAATTACGCTTTTGCTGAAAAGTGATACGGCAATTATATGAAATGGAATAACAGTTTCTTTTCTGGCTTTGTTTTTGAATAAGTTAATCTCTTCTTGTGCCATGCATGCATGATTTGATGGTTATAGATTGTAATGAAAAGATTGTTGTTTTGTAATTCGAGAAAAAAGAGCCCACCCCCCCTTACAGAATGTTGTGTGAATGAGTTAATGTCTCTTTGTGTATGTGTTTGAGTGTGTCTGTGTTTATGTTTGTATGTGTGTTTGTCTATGTATGTGAGAGCGAGAGAGAGTGAGAGAGAGAGAGAGAGAGAGAAAGAGAGAGAGAGAGAAAGAGAGAGAGAGAGAAATTGCGGCTGCGGGAATGAAAGTTTGCATGTTGCTTCTGACACTTTTTAATGATCACTTTCCGTTTTCCATGATATCTTTATTCTGGCTTTGTGAACCTTTCAGCAATAGATGTTTATTCATTTTGAAATGAAAACCTGTTTCAAATTTCAAGCTTTCACCAGTCTCGCGTTCCTCCCCTCCCCCACAGACTCGGTTGTGGGAGAGCAAAAGCCGCCGCCCCCCGTGCAGCCCGGTACGTTGGTCGCTGAGCCGTACTCGTGGAAGAGCCTGGTCACTGGCCAGCCCATCCTCCGTCTGAGGACCACGGGGACCAAGTCAGCTGTGCTCACACTTCCTCCAGGGTCTGTGTTTTTTCCCATGTTATTATATGTCCAGATATGATTAATCCTACACTACCTCAGTGCTTTCTTCTCCTATCTCCCTTTTTTAAAGATTGAAAATGGGATTTCCTTTTAAGCTTACTCTTTGCTATGAACTGTTTTCACTGTTATTAGAAATGGAGATAGGACAAGAAAGCACTGAGGTCGCGCCTATCTCTCTGAGCCTCTTATTATTGGACTGTGTTGATTTTATTTCTCATGATCCTAATTGAAAACGTGATAAAGGTACAAAAATAATGAGTTTGTAGTAATATTTATAATAATAATAATAATAAAAATTATAATAATAATGGTAACGATAATAATAATACTAATAATATTAATAATAGAGATAATAACAAAAGCAATAATAATAATAATAATAAAAATTATAATGATAATGGTAACGATAATAATAATACTAATAATATTAATAATAGAGATAATAACAAAAGCAATAATAATAATAATAATTTTTATGGCCAACGCCCACTTGTGCCATCTTTCAGAAGGCCAAATTGTTTTAGCCAGCCATCTAAGTATATTCTTTTAAACAGGGCCTTTGATAACACCTGTCACTACTCGGATTGTCTCCAACTCCCACCTGTACCAAATTGCCCAGGTTGGCAAGCACTGCTATAAAACAGTTTAATAAAATCATGTCTACTTTCTTGTGTCCAGACATCACGTGCTATAAAACAGTTCATATAAACCGTGTCTACTTCGTTGGTTCCAGGCATCAACTGCGATTAAAACTGTTCAATGTTGACTTTGTTTCTACTTTCCTGTGTCCAGATGTCACGTACCATAAAACTGTTCAATAAAACCGTGTCTACTTTCTTGTGTCTAGACGTCACATGCTATGAAACAGTTCTATAAAACCGTTTCTACTTCGTTGTGTCTAGACGTCACATGCCATAAAACAGTTCAATGAAATCATGTCTACCTTGTTGTTGTGTTCAGATGTCTCGTGCTATAAAACAGTTCGTGGGTGGTTGGCGAGTGCTCTGATCTGGTTTGCTCCTTCTTTCTTATCAAACACCTGTGGTCCTTATTTCCCCTCTTTCTGTTTTTTGTTTGTTATTCTCTCGTAACACCCCTAATCTTTGGCACTTTTATGACCTTATTGTATTGCTAGTGCTGTTAATCTTTTACCAAAATAAAAAAATTAATAAAACAGTTAAATGTAAACTTTGTGTCTACTGTCCTGTGTCCAGACGTCGCATGCTATAAAACAGCTCAATGTTGACTTTGTGTGTACTTTCCTGTGTCCAGATGCCACATGCTGTAAAACAGCTCAATGTTGACTTTGTGTCTACTTTCCTGTGTCCAGATGCCACTTGCTATAAAACAGTTAAATAAAACCATGTCTACTTCGTTGGTTCCAGACGGCACGTGCTGCGGTTCATGATGAGCTCCCCCCTGGGCCACCACGTCCACATGTGCTCCACCGTCAACTTTGTCTTCGGGGACGAGGAGACCGTGATGCCACAGCTGACAAACGTAAGGGTCCTCAGTCACTTCTGTTGTTTTATGTTTGTGTGTCTCTGGTGTAATGGTAAGCCTCTTTGCTGTTGCAATGAGAAGACAAGAGGGTGATTCTAATAAATATGGAGAAATCATTTTTTCCATTACAGTCAATCAGACTTGTCCAAAATGACCACCCATGGTTTAGGAGAAAAGTTATCATTTAAGGCAGGTAGTCCCCTTGGACAGTGTCATTGTAATAAAGAAAAAATGGCATGTATGGAAGTGGGAAGTGGTCATTTGTACAGATGATTGTCCTGGACAGGTGGTCACTAGAGCAGAATGGGCTGTGTTTCCATCTGTCTGCTGGGATGCTGTATCCCGCTCAGCCCAGGTTTTCCCTGACAGGCACGGTTGAAGCAGCCTGCCACCTTTACTATCTAAATTGTTATTATGGGAGCTTAAAACATTTATAATCAATTGGTTTCTTATGGCCTCTGTTCCCCTCTCACGTGTGCACTGGAATTTCTACTTCTCCATGAACATTAATCTAATTAAGCATATCATTGTCAGCATCATGGCCTAAACACCCTATCCCCTCTGTTGTCTGAATGCATCTAAATTGATGTACTCAACTGTATGTTACTCCTATTCTACCTTGTAATTTAATTGGAAAAGTCAGGATCTCCAAGTTATCATCTGTCCCTGATAAGACATAGCCAAGTGGGTGGAGAGTCATGAAAACTCCCCAAACAACCCAATTTCTAAAATGTCAGACCAAGAATTCAAACAAGGGTCATAGATATTGTAGTTCACCACACTACCAGCTGAGCTAACTGTTTGCTGTCTTTAGTTGTACATAACCTGTATCTATGCTAGTTGTCCACCTACATTGGCTGGAAAGAGGCAGTCACACTGTTCCACATTCTTCGATGAACAATCTGGGTTTCGGGTCAGTATTTTCTGGACAACACTGTTCAATGAATACAGACAGCCATCCAACCTCAAACTCAGACTCAAAAGCGTCATAGTATCACAGGCTAATTGGAAATACTTTTTTTCTGATGTGTAGGAGAGCTGCCGTTTCCGTGACAATGCTGTGCAGGTCATCATGAACCTGGGCAAGTGCATCCTGGCATTCAAGGACCCGACGATGTTGACCAGCGCCTGGGCGGAGCTGGTGGCCAGTCATTGCCCGTATCTGGAGGACAAGCAGATGTCCAAGACACATCACTTCCAGGTGAGGGAATACATTTTGGGATTTGAGATGTTTTAGTAGAAGACGCATCAGGTTAATACAGCACCTGGAAAAAGATGGCTGGTGCCTTTATTTATAAATTATTATTAAAGAAGACACATCACTTTGAGGCGAGGAATGTTGTGTTATGCTGAAAAGATATTTCAGTAGAAGACACATCACTTCCAGGTGAGGATGTCATGTTGTGCTGTAAGATATTTTAGTAGAAAACACATCACTTCCTGATCAGGGAATACGTGTTGAGATGTAAGATATTTTAGTGGAAGGCACATTACTTCCAGGAGAGGGACTGTGTGTAGAGATGTAAGATATTTTAGTGGAAGGCACATTACTTCCAGGAGAGGGACTGTGTGTAGAGATGTAAGATATTTTAGTGGAAGGCACATTACTTCCAGGAGAGGGACTGTGTGTAGAGATGTAAGATATTTTAGTGGAAAGCACATTACTTCCAGGAGAGGGAATACATGTTGTGTGGGTGGTTGTAGGGTATTAGTGGAAGGCACATTACTTCCAGGAGAGGGACTGTGTGTAGAGATGTAAGGTATTTTAGTACAAGACGCACATAGTGAGGAATGTCATGTGCTGTAAGATATTTTAGTAGAAAACACATTATTTCCAGGTGAGGGAATACATACGAGTTGTGCTGTAAGATATTTTAGTAGAAAACACATCACTTCCAGGTGAGGGACTGTGTGTTGTAATGTAAGATATTTACAATTGTGGTGTCGTTCGTCTAGTAGTTAGGGTACCGGGCGCGTAATCCTGAGGTTGCGAGTTTGGGGGTTCGAGGCTAAGGCCGGAAATTGTGTCTGTGGGAAAGGCACTTTACACAAATTTTCCTCACTTCGCCCAAGTGGGAATGAGGAAAACGTCTACGTATCCTCCTGAAAAACTTTTTCTCCTGCTCTGCTTTCATGCCTTCTAATTTCTTTTTTGTCTTTTTCCTCATGTCTCTTCCTGACAGTATGCCTGGGGATTTTACATTTGGGCATATGTGTGCATCTGTGTGTAAGTGTGGGTGGATATTGTATTGTTGGATATGTGGCTTTCAGGATGTCAAATGTCAAAATAGTTTACAGTGAACACAAAATCTTTCTTTTTCCTGTCTTTTCAGCTGTAAATTCTCATGAAGTTCTTTTTGGTACATGTGTGATAGGCTGGTCTATAAAGTACACAACACAATAGTCCACTAATTTTTGTCACAGGTTTTCAACGAGGCTTTGTACCAGATGCTGAAGAAGACAGTCAAGGACATCATGTCTCCTGATATCGCTTTTGCGTGGCGCGCCTTCACCTTTGATGCGACAACGTCAAACATCCTGGCAATTCCCGTAGGCAGTCGGCCAGGTGGGTTGATCTTGTTGGACGAGCGGCTGGGTTGCCCGAGATCTGGGCTGAGTAGTGTGTGTGTGCAATAGTGTCTGGATGATAGCAGTTCTCAGTTGTCACTTTTACCTCTTGTCTGATAGTTCACATGCTCAACCTGAGATGTCGTGTTCATTTTAGTTCATGAGTAGCTTTTATTTTTATTTTTGCACGTCTGGCACTGTGTTGGTTAAAGAGAAACCTCTAAAGGAGGAGAGAGGAGGGAGAACTATACAGTCTAGAGAAGTTAACTGAGAAGTATCAAACCTGAAAGGGTCCAAGAAGCTCTTGATTATTTGTTTTTGTGACTATTATTATTATTGTTAATCATTATTGTTATTATTATTATTATTATTATTATTATTATTATTGTTGTTGTTGTTGTTGTTGTTATTGTTGTTTTCATTATAATAATGATAATTATTATTATTATTAATAGTATTATCAATATTGTTATTATTATTATTATTTTTATTACTGTTTTTCTTCTTGGAATTAGTGATCATTAATTTTCCCTCGTAAATTAGAAGAAATGGGCAGAAGTGATTGAGAGAGAGGGGAGTCAATGGGACAGATGGGGTTGGGTGGGAAAAAAGGCTGGGGGAAAGGGGTGGGGGTAGAAGGAGTTTACACAGAACAAGATTTTTTTAAAGGGAGGGTGCTCATACGAACTTATGCTGCTATGAGCACCTTAAAACTCTTACCAGAAGAGGGGAGATAGGAGGACATCTGAAATGAGAGTGTGTGTGCGGGGTTGTTTATGGGTGGGGAGAGAGAAAGAGAAGAGTTTTTTTGGTTTCTAGTCATCTGTTAATACGTACCCACAGACACCACCCGTTCTTGCTGTGATCTTTTGTCTTGGAAACTGTGCACTTAGTTTAGAGATAAAACTAAAGAGCATGTTGTGCCAAATTACGTTCTTTGTCAGTCTTAACTTTGTGTTGTGCTTTGAATAATTTGTCTCCTTATAACCGGATCGGATGCTGGTTTTGAAGAAAACTGTGAATAGATCACATTTATTTTCTCTGAATTCAAGACAAAGCCAAATGCTGGCTATGGCCGGCAGAAATATTATTTTGGTCGAGACTTGAATATTAGGGGCTTGGATTCATTTCTATTAATTTTTTTGGTGGTTTTTTGTTAAGTTTTAGCTGTAAATATGGGGAACTTGCATGTTTAAATAATTATTTTTTTGGTAAACTTTAGAAGTATTTTTAAATGATGATATTCAACCAATTTTGAAGTTCCCAAATATCTTTGACCTGAGTTCCCACCAGCCAGATGTCTTTCTATTCTTCCCATCAGATGATCACAGGATTAAGACTGATAGCCGGTAAATTACTGTCACATGATTCACAGGATTAAGACTGATAGGCGGTAGATTACTGTCAGATAATCACAGGATTGAGACTGATAGGCGGTAGATTACTGTCAGATGATTCACAGGATTAAGACTGATAGCCGGTAAATTACTGTCAGCTAATCACAGGATTAAGACTGATAGCCGGTAGATTACTGTCAGACGATCACAGGATTAAGACTGATAGCCGGTAGATTATATTGTAGAAATCAGAGGATTATTTTATCTAAAGATGACCTGTTTGCCTGTAGACTAATCAGTCAATGTTTCACGTTTGCTGTTTTTCATTCTCCTAGTTTGACTTCCATGTCCTTGCACTGAAGTTAGTGTTCACGAGTGTTTGTAAAATGTTCTAACTGAAACACTGGGCTGGCAGACAGCTCTTACTGGCATAGTGTCTGTGGTGAATTGGTTAGGCTCTTTGCCATTGATTACAGAACATATTAATATGAGTTTGATTCTTGGGGTGGGAAGTGTATTTCATCCAATATCTCTCTCTTGCTAAGATGCAGTTTCCCGCTCAGCCTGGGCTGGCCATAATAAGCAGGCTCGAAGCAGCCCAACTGCGGAATGATCTAGATTGTGTCACAGGGTTATGAGAAATGTATTAATGTTAGAATAAATGAATATATGAATAGAATTGATAGCCAGTAGATTATAATGTTGACATCAGATGATAATCTCACCTAAACATGATCTGTTAAGATCATGACAGACAAGTTTTCTAGTTTTTTTCAACTCTCAAGAAGGGAGAAAAACAATGTGTTCGTCTCGTGAGTGTGACATTTTTCTTCCCACCTCACAGCGACCCAAGGCTCCAACGCTCCCGGTGGGTACTCCCCCCCCTTTCCAGGAGAGGGACTGTGTGTAGAGATGTAAGATATTTTAGTGGAAGGCACATTACTTCCAGGAGAGGGACTGTGTGTAGAGATGTAAGATATTTTAGTGGAAGGCACATTACTTCCAGGAGAGGGACTGTGTGTAGAGATGTAAGGTATTTTAGTACAAGACGCACATAGTGAGGAATGTCATGTGCTGTAAGATATTTTAGTAGAAAACACATTATTTCCAGGTGAGGGAATACATGTTGTGTGGGTGGTTGGCGGGTGCTCCGGTGTGGTTTTGCTCCTTCTTTCCTATCAAACATTCATCATCCTTATCACACCTCCTTCTTTTTCGTGTTTGTTACTCTCTTGTAACACCTCTGATTTTTGGCACTTACATGACATTATTGTGTTGCAAGTGCTGTCAAACTCTTACTGAAACTAATACGAGTTGTGCTGTAAGATATTTTAGTAGAAAACACATCACTTCCAGGTGAGGGACTGTGTGTTGTAATGTAAGATATTTACAATTGTGGTGTCGTTCGTCTAGTAGTTAGGGTACCGGGCGCGTAATCCTGAGGTTGCGAGTTTGGGGGTTCGAGGCTAAGGCCGGAAATTGTGTCTGTGGGAAAGGCACTTTACACAAATTTTCCTCACTTCGCCCAAGTGGGAATGAGGAAAACGTCTACGTATCCTCCTGAAAAACTTTTTCTCCTGCTCTGCTTTCATGCCTTCTAATTTCTTTTTTGTCTTTTTCCTCATGTCTCTTCATGACAGTATGCCTGGGGATTTTACATTTGGGCATATGTGTGCATCTGTGTGTAAGTGTGGGTGGATATTGTATTGTTGGATATGTGGCTTTCAGGATGTCAAATGTCAAAATAGTTTACAGTGAACACAAAATCTTTCTTTTTCCTGTCTTTTCAGCTGTAAATTCTCATGAAGTTCTTTTTGGTACATGTGTGATAGGCTGGTCTATAAAGTACACAACACAATAGTCCACTAATTTTTGTCACAGGTTTTCAACGAGGCTTTGTACCAGATGCTGAAGAAGACAGTCAAGGACATCATGTCTCCTGATATCGCTTTTGCGTGGCGCGCCTTCACCTTTGATGCGACAACGTCAAACATCCTGGCAATTCCCGTAGGCAGTCGGCCAGGTGGGTTGATCTTGTTGGACGAGCGGCTGGGTTGCCCGAGATCTGGGCTGAGTAGTGTGTGTGTGCAATAGTGTCTGGATGATAGCAGTTCTCAGTTGTCACTTTTACCTCTTGTCTGATAGTTCACATGCTCAACCTGAGATGTCGTGTTCATTTTAGTTCATGACTAGCTTTTATTTTTATTTTTGCACGTCTGGCACTGTGTTGGTTAAAGAGAAACCTCTAAAGGAGGAGAGAGGAGGGAGAACTATACAGTCTAGAGAAGTTAACTGAGAAGTATCAAACCTGAAAGGGTCCAAGAAGCTCTTGATTATTTGTTTTTGTGACTATTATTATTATTGTTAATCATTATTGTTATTATTATTATTATTATTATTGTTGTTGTTGTTGTTGTTGTTGTTATTGTTGTTTTCATTATAATAATGATAATTATTATTATTATTAATAGTATTATCAATATTGTTATTATTATTATTATTTTTATTACTGTTTTTCTTCTTGGAATTAGTGATCATTAATTTTCCCTCGTAAATTAGAAGAAATGGGCAGAAGTGATTGAGAGAGAGGGGAGTCAATGGGACAGATGGGGTTGGGTGGGAAAAAAGGCTGGGGGAAAGGGGTGGGGGTAGAAGGAGTTTACACAGAACAAGATTTTTTTAAAGGGAGGGTGCTCATACGAACTTATGCTGCTATGAGCACCTTAAAACTCTTACCAGAAGAGGGGAGATAGGAGGACATCTGAAATGAGAGTGTGTGTGCGGGGTTGTTTATGGGTGGGGAGAGAGAAAGAGAAGAGTTTTTTTGGTTTCTAGTCATCTGTTAATACGTACCCACAGACACCACCCGTTCTTGCTGTGATCTTTTGTCTTGGAAACTGTGCACTTAGTTTAGAGATAAAACTAAAGAGCATGTTGTGCCAAATTACGTTCTTTGTCAGTCTTAACTTTGTGTTGTGCTTTGAATAATTTGTCTCCTTATAACCGGATCGGATGCTGGTTTTGAAGAAAACTGTGAATAGATCACATTTATTTTCTCTGAATTCAAGACAAAGCCAAATGCTGGCTATGGCCGGCTGAAATATTATTTTGGTCGAGACTTGAATATTAGGGGCTTGGATTCATTTCTATTAATTTTTTTGGTGGTTTTTTGTTAAGTTTTAGCTGTAAATATGGGGAACTTGCATGTTTAAATAATAATTTTTTTGGTAAACTTTAGAAGTATTTTTAAATGATGATATTCAACCAATTTTGAAGTTCCCAAATATCTTTGACCTGAGTTCCCACCAGCCAGATGTCTTTCTATTCTTCCCATCAGATGATCACAGGATTAAGACTGATAGCCGGTAAATTACTGTCACATGATTCACAGGATTAAGACTGATAGGCGGTAGATTACTGTCAGATAATCACAGGATTGAGACTGATAGGCGGTAGATTACTGTCAGATGATTCACAGGATTAAGACTGATAGCCGGTAAATTACTGTCAGCTAATCACAGGATTAAGACTGATAGCCGGTAGATTACTGTCAGACGATCACAGGATTAAGACTGATAGCCGGTAGATTATATTGTAGAAATCAGAGGATTATTTTATCTAAAGATGACCTGTTTGCCTGTAGACTAATCAGTCAATGTTTCACGTTTGCTGTTTTTCATTCTCCTAGTTTGACTTCCATGTCCTTGCACTGAAGTTAGTGTTCACGAGTGTTTGTAAAATGTTCTAACTGAAACACTGGGCTGGCAGACAGCTCTTACTGGCATAGTGTCTGTGGTGAATTGGTTAGGCTCTTTGCCATTGATTACAGAACATATTAATATGAGTTTGATTCTTGGGGTGGGAAGTGTATTTCATCCAATATCTCTCTCTTGCTAAGATGCAGTTTCCCGCTCAGCCTGGGCTGGCCATAATAAGCAGGCTCGAAGCAGCCCAACTGCGGAATGATCTAGATTGTGTCACAGGGTTATGAGAAATGTATTAATGTTAGAATAAATGAATATATGAATAGAATTGATAGCCAGTAGATTATAATGTTGACATCAGATGATAATCTCACCTAAACATGATCTGTTAAGATCATGACAGACAAGTTTTCTAGTTTTTTTCAACTCTCAAGAAGGGAGAAAAACAATGTGTTCGTCTCGTGAGTGTGACATTTTTCTTCCCACCTCACAGCGACCCAAGGCTCCAACGCTCCCGGTGGGTACTCCCCCCCCTCCCGCCACCCCCCCCCCTCTGACCCTTCCCCCTTTCTGACCCTTCCCCCTCACGCCCTGACCCTGTGATTCAAAACTTGGTATCTTAACTCTTTATTTGTTTGAGTTTGCTCCACTAGAGGCCTGGTTGTCTGTCAGTAGGTGTGGAGATCATGCAGTTGTGTTGAAGGTTGAAGGTTTTCACTCTTGAGCCATAAATTTCTTTTGACTTTGAAATCCTGTTGAGATTTTTTAGAAATTCTCAACGAGTTTTCAGATCGAATGATGTCGAGGCCTGACTTTCACCTTCATCAAATTGCAGTTTGTGATTTCCTGTTAACGAGCTTGTACTAACGTCAGCTCCTCTGACCTGTTCTCTTTGGGTTCCCGTAATTGTCATCTCTCCCGTGAAAACTGTCATTCCTCTCTTGACATATGTGTGGTCGGATTTTTTTGTGTGTGCGTATACTGAAAGCTGCTTTTGACTAACTGGTGATGATATGAGTGTTGGAAGGCATGGTGTTAGGTATTTTCTCTGGGTTTCTTCATTTGTGCAGGGATAAAACCTAATTTACCAGGATCACACCACACGGTTTGAAGCAATCTGAAAAATAATTCTGAAAAGAGGTGGAATGGAGGCTGGAGAGAATGACCACGCTAAGGAAGATCAGTATTTTTGTGGAAGAAAACATAAACTGATGTAAAATTCTGACTACCAACCTCAATGAGAAGTGTGGAAGAACTAATGACTTCCTTTTTAATTTCAGTTTTTGTCAAGTTAGCTGAAATGATAGTGGAGAACTCATTATTGTAGAGTTAAAAAACAGATGATTTCTATTGAGGATTTGTTTTGCCTCTCTTTGTTTAGGCTTTGTCGGCTCCCACTTTTGTTTTCTAACATTCCTTAGAACTGAAGCAATGTCATAAAGCAAGACGAACGAGATTTACTTGAAAGCTTGGCTTTATTAAACAAAAAAACGTCCTGCTTGTTCTAGGGATAGACAGCAACTGACAATAATACACAGGTAAGGTGAACGGACATTGAAAACTGCCCAGCTACATGACCCACTGAGCGACACAACACAGCTACACGATACTCCAAGCGAAACAACATAGCTACACGATACTCCAAGCGACACAACACAGCTACACGATACTCCAAGCGACCCAACACAGCTACACGACACTCCGAGTTACACAACACAGGTACACGACACTCCAAGCGACACAACACAGCTACACGATACTCCAAGTGACCCAACACAGCTACATGACACTCCGAGCGACACAACACAGCTACACGACACTCTGAGCGACACAACACAGCTACACGACACTCCTAGCGACACAACATAGCTACACAACACTCTGAGCGACACAACACAACTACACGACACTCTGAGCGACACAACACAGTTACCCGACACTCCGAGCGACACAACACAGCTACGCGATACTCCAAGCGACACAACACAGCTACACAATGCACTGAGTGACACAGCACAGTTATATGACTTATTAAGCGACACTGGCAAAGACTGTGAGAAATGTACCAAGAAATGAACAGAGACGCAACCAGAGAATTATCGCTTTAGCAAGCTGCCAAAAATGACACGCCACTTTGAAGAAGAATATTATAGCTGGGCCTCAAGACCGTGTTGGAAGCTGTTTTACTGGGTTTTTTTCATCATTTTTTCCGCTGTCTACTGTTTCAGTTAAACGTTTTGTTTTTGTAATTGTTTACTGTCAATCAGATTTCTTTTGGATGAGAATCTTACTTTCATTGTTCAACTCAGCTGCATGTGCCTATTAGGAGGCATATTATCTCTCTTCCCTGTTTTAGTCTTTTCTGTTCATTCTTTTTTTTTTCCCTTTCCCTTTAGATCTCTAAAAATGTGCTCCATTCTCTGTACTTCCTTTATTCTTCTTTGTTGTTTTAGTTTGAGCCTATGTCAACCTTCTTTTTTCATCTTTTGTGTCTACTTTGCCATGTTCAATCCCCACCTCTCTCTTTTCGTCTATCCATTTTTGTCGGTGCCTTTGTACAAGCAAAGTTTTATCTCTTTCTGTTTTGTTTTTTTGCTACCTACTTGTTTTCTTTTTCTTCTTGTTACACACACAAATGCACCGTAGTCCAGTTCCCATGACGGGAACATAGAAGGTACTGAGCTCACTCACTGCCAAACTACGACACAACGGTGCACAATTTCTTGCAGGTTTTTTTAGCATTCTTACACTTGCACTTAGAAGACCTTAGAGATTCCCTTTTTTCTATTTCTTCTTTTATTTATTTTTTTTTTTGCACTCTTTTCTTCAGCCTTTAGTAAACATGAATGAATTCCTTTTAGGGGTGTTGAATGCGGTTGTAAACTCATTGCTCTTTGTCTCTGGTGACAACATTTTACAGGATCTCAGGTCACCTCAGAAGAAAAACTTGCTGAAACAAAAGGTTTTACAGATATTTTTACCTGTTTCCTTGATTAGCGTTTGCTAGGCTAAATAGGTTTTGTATATATTTCTATATATGTTACTATTTTCAGTATGCTATGTTTTGTTGTAAAGTAAAACTTGTGTTAATGGTAAACTTTTCTGTATCTTCTGTAGTTTAAATTTCTCTTTGAGTTAGTTTCATTTCCTTTTGAGTTGCTTTATTTCTTCTACCAGTTCAGATTCTGTTTGTATGTTACTCAACTTTTTGGGTCTCAGCTTTCCTGAGAAAATTTCTCGTGGCAGCTGCACTTTGGTGCAAAGGCCATGTGGGAGTGAAAGTGTTTATCGTCTTTCTGTGCTTTTGTAGAACGCTGCTATGCAATAAGTTCATCAAAAGTGATCAAAGCAAAGGCTTGTTGTAGTATGCTTAAGATAACACATTGCAAACTTTTCTCTTTTACAAAGACAAAACAATGTAGAAATTTGTTTGGCCTTGCAAGCTGCAAAATTGGGAATCCGCTTTTTGGGTTTAAAAAATTATTTTTTTTAATGATTGGGAATCGGTTAACATTAAATTGTTTGACAATTTGCTCTTTTCGTTGTCTCTGTAACTACACTGAGTTCAGATGAACATAAGCTAGCTAGCTACCTGTTCTTGATGGGTTTGTCTTTCTCTTGGATATGTCACTCTTAAGCTTCTAGACATCCCTTGAAAAAGGCTTGATTAATTTGTATTAAAAAAACAGATTGTATGTCATTCTTTCTGAGGTCTGCTCTGGGAAACTTTGGGTTTTCTACTCATCAGTGTGTGTCAAACATGCCTGTTTATGTTCCAGCAAAGTATTTTCTGGATCTTTTTACCTACAGGAAGAGTATTTTTCTACATCAGAAGAGTTATCTATGTGCCTCCTAAAACATCTACTGATCAATCTTGAAGCAAAATATTAAAATGTATGACAAGTATGATGAAAAGAAAAGTCTTAAGTATTTTGGTCTGGATGTTTTTATGGGTTTTCTTGAAAGTGATAGGTTTTTTAGGTCAGTTAAAAAAAGTATTTGCTTTACTGATTTTTCTCTCTTTTAGTTTGGCTCGTGTTTGTTATCCACCTTTCTCTGCCCCAGACCATCTGGGGCTTAGCAAGAACTGGAAAGTCTAAGGCATTTCTCCCCTCCTTCTTTTTTGTGTTTGTTACTCTCTTGTAACACCTCTAATCTTTGGCATTTACATGACCTAATTGTGTTGCAAGTGCCGTAAAACACTGACTTAAACAACAAAAAAAAGGTTTGAATAGAAACTCTAACTGTAATTTGAAAGTTATGTCTTCTGTTTTCTTTTGCAGACGATGAGAAAGGATCCTATTATTTCAGGATTTGTTTTGACTACTGTTATGAATCAAATGTTATTGCAATAATTTACATGTTGAAATATGATTCTCTTTTTGCTCAGGGCATCTAATAATTTGTTGATTTTTTTTTTCCTGTCTGCGCCCATGGTTTGATATGATGTGTTTTTGTTGCTTTGCCTGGGTTCTGACATGAGATCTAGAGTTAACGCTTTTCTCATGGCACTAACTGTTTGAAACCGTAACAGTAACACAGGCGCAAGTGTTAACGCTAGAAAATTTACTGACTACTTTTCTGTTGTTTTTCTCAAAGACAGATTTTAGTTCATTCTGTTTCCATGTTTTTGAATTGCTGTGTTTATATAACCAAGTTTGTCCAAGGTTTTGTTATGATGTTTTAAGTAAATTTTAGTGGGGGTTTTTTTTACTTTTGGTGATTTAAGTTTTTACTTGTA